TGAGGAGCAGAACTACCAGTGCTGATGGGAGTACCCTCAGTTCAAGTTAGTGGATTTAGAGCTGCTAAATCGAACACTAGAAGATCAACTTTGGAGGGTCAATCTTCTCCATAGTGTAGACTAGCCCTCTACCCCTCTGAAATGGATTAAAGAGGTTCAAGTGTATTTATAAAAGTACAAACAAGAGATGAATAAAGGGTCTTTAAGAATGAAAGCTTATTCCAGGCCACCAGGATTTTCTCCTCTATCGTAAAGCATGCTGAAGAAAAGCAGGACATTTTAAAAAAACAAATAAAAATGGAGAAGCAGCAAAGTAGGCTTCACACTTAGGAGATGTGCCAGATGGCAATTAAATAATAAAAGCAGTTTCCAACTATTCAAAAAAATTAGCAAACAGCAATCTGAATTCTAAACACTGTTTAATGGTTTGACTTTTAATCCGGTTTTTGATCTGGAGGAAGGGAAAGATAATCCCTCTCAGTTAAAAAAAAAAAAAAAAAAAACGGAAAAAAAACCCCCCCCAGAAAAAAAAAAAAAAAAGAAACCAAGAGTGCCCAGCAAATCTTTAAATATAGTAAATCTACTCTGTATCTCTAAGTTATGCGTAAGTTAAATATTCATTGGAGCAAGGATTAGAATCCCTCTTCCCAAGTAAATCCCCAGACAACATGGTCTCTGGACAAGTGAATATTTAAATATGTATGCAAAATGAACCAGCAGAGAGGTGCAGGGGAAAGCATGGTGCCTCCCTATATACCTAGATTTCTGTCCAATAGCCAGTGATTAGTCATTCATCTGTGAGAGCAGGAGACCTAAATTCAAGCCCCTACTCCAAATCAAACAGAATGTGTGGATTTGAACATAGGCCCCTCATATCCTGGGTGAGCATATCAATTATTGAGTTAGAGAATTAAGGAGCGCTCTACCTCCACCAGAAGTTAGAACAGCAATCAAATTGCCTTTTAAAGCTAGCCTGCACTTTTTACTTTTTTTGTTGTTGTTGAAACTGTTTGCCAAATGAGTGTCAAATTCACACAGTTTCAGTTGATCTGAGACTGCATTTCATGGTTAATAAATTAGTCATGCAAAAAAATTGGACAGGGCAAAACATGGGTATTTATAGACGATTATTTGGCATCTACACTCACCTTCATTATTAGTGTCTCTAAAAATGTAGAGACTTCTCTCTAAGCAATTTAGAGAGAGAAGATTTATCATAGCAAAGCTGTTCAATTTTATTTCTATCCTAAATATTGCCTATGCCACTGCCCTGTATTTAAAGCCTCAAAAGTTTTTAAACGGTTAAATCTTTCTTGTCCTTCAAGATCAGAAAAATAATCCTTCTGACAGAATTATAGCAATGATTAGCCTAGTAGAGATCCAGGAGGCTTTACTTACCCTTTTGTTGGGCAGAATGAAAATAGAGAGGTCAAAACCTTTAACCTGCAGGACTTTTCCAAAATGTAACTCCCTGGATCCTTCTGCACTCCTGGAACATGTGTTTTATGACTACTAGTTATATGTGCTACTACTATCTGATAATACTGTGCCATCAGATTGATTTTAGAAGCTGCAAATACATTTAGGGGTTCAAAGCTAAAAGAAATTTAGGATTCCATAGAAGGTTTCCCTAAAAGAACTGGTAAAAAAAAAAAAAAGAAATGTACTTACTGCATGTGTATAACAGTTAGCAGCATGTTCATAGCAAGTGGGTTTGTAGCGGCTGTTTGCTGGAGCTGGGTGGTTCATGAACCTGTTCAGATAATCATGGAATATTTTTAGATGAGTTCACACATTACCCACACACAGCAGCATCTAATTTAGAAAAAAAAATACATTACATCTGTTAACATGTTAAAAACAAAAGCAAAGCCACGTTTAAAATATATTTAAGAAAAACAATCTCCAAGGAATAATATACAATTTGAAAGCGGACCTAAATTTAAAAATTCAATAAATACTTTTGTGTCCCAGTCTATAGAAGACCAATCCCCTACACATTGAAGACACTTAATTCAGTAGTAAGTGCATGCAAGATCAGACCTTAGTTTTCCTTATGACTTGTTTAAATAAAAAGCACAGTTTCTTTTCTGTTTTCTTTAAACATACCTATGACTTGACAACTCTGAAGAATGGCCATGACTCCAGGGAATAAAAGTTAAAATGGGAGTAGTCATGAAACTAAGCCATAACCATTTTCTTTCGTTCTATATAGATACAGGAGATTAATCCTTTAGATTAGGACATCTGAGATACTGGTGTTTCTGTTCCCTTAAAGGGCCTCACAACTGAAACCAAGCCATAACCATTTTCTCTCGTTCTATATAGATACAGAGATTAATGCTTTAGATTAGGACATCTGAGATACTGGTGTTTCTGTTCCCTTAAAGGGCCTCACAATTTGCATCTTGACATACATAGGGTTTTAACTAAAGTCAAGATTTAGGGTCTGCCACCCAAAGCTCCATCTACACTACAGCAGAAAGTAGACTTTAACTACACAACTTCAGTTACATTAATAATGTACCTGGAGTCAATGCATCTTAAATCGAGTTATGGTGTAGACCCCACACTAAGGGGTCAATAGGAGAAACTCTCCTCTTAATTTCCCTTGCTATTTTATCCTGGGTAGATAACAGGGTCAACGGGGAGAGCCATCTGCAGTTGATTTGGCAGGTCTTAACTAGACCCACTAAATCGACCGTCGGTGGATCGATCTCAGAGAGTCAATCTGAACTGTACTGTAGATGTAGCTTAGGGCTGTTTTTCTTTTATGAATGACTGTTTTACTGCCCTTGACACAGTCTCTTCCCCAGACCCTAGGGGCCCAGAAGATTCTGAAGGACAACTGGATTTATTCCATATTAAAATTAGATTTGGAGGAAGAGAAGGATCAGAGCTGAACTCTCAACTTTTTTCCACAGAGCATGTTACTATCACAGTCTCATCCCCAGACCCTAGGGACCCAGAAGATTCTGGAGGACAACTGGATTTATTCCATATTAAAATTAGATGACACAGTCTCTTCCCCAGACCCTAGGGGCCCAGAAGATTCTGAAGGACAACTGGATTTATTCCATATTAAAATTAGATTTGGAGGAAGAGAAGGATCAGAGCTGAACTCTCAACTTTTTTCCACAGAGCATGTTACTTCAATAGTAGCTTCAGAAAAGCAAGAGCCAAAGGGAATGTTAAGTTCTCACTATTCCAGAGCTACCGTTCATCTAGTTCTCATCAAATTCTCCATATTTTTTGTTTAACTTCTAAGCAAACTACCGTTCATCTAGTTCTCAAATTCTCCATATTTTTTGTTTAACTTCTAAGCAAAAATGTAGAACAAGGACACTAGGGCTGTGTCTAGACTACATGCCTCTGTCGTTAGAGGCATGTAGATTAGACACATAGGCAAAGGCAAATGAAGCCGTGATTTAAATGATCGCGGCTTCATTTACATTTACATGGCTGCCGCGCTGAGCCGACAAACAGCTGATCAGCTGTTTGTCGGCTCAGCGCGGCAGCCATGTAAATGTAAATGAAGCCGCGATTTAAATGATCGCGGCTTCATTTACATTTACATGGCTGCCGCGCTGAGCCGACAAACAGCTGATCAGCTGTTTGTCGGCTCAGCGCGGCAGCCATGTAAATGTAAATGAAGCCGCGATTTAAATGATCGCGGCTTCATTTGCCTTTGCCAAAACAACAAATCTACATGGCTCCGTCGACGGAGCCATGTAGTTTAGACGTACCCTAAGATAAATCATTCTCATGGGTGTTTAAAACATGGTAATTTATGCCATTTATTAGACAATCCAGATAACTGAGATATTCAACTTGTCCTTCCATGTTGCATTAAATGATTAAGCATCAACCAATATAAATAATATTTTACTGACTCTATAAAAAAAATCTATATTAGAGTGTACATTTTTTTTAATACAAAAACAAAAGCATTTTTGTAGAGCTACTAGTTTTGTTTTTCTTGCTTGGTTTCCTAAGTGAAGTATCCCATTTTTTATACCATCCACGTACTGCCTTCTCATGTCAGTCCAGTCCAAACTTAGTAGCTGAAGTTGTGGCATTTGGAAGTTAATTCTTTTGACCAAATATAGTGTCCTATTTATGAAACAGAAAATAGTGACAAATATTTTGATCTATTCATAACTGACAATCAGAGCAAGTTAATATTGATACTGAGGATGCCAATGTTTTTTTTTTCATGTTAAACTAGACTGATAAATAAGGAATCTTGCAAAGATTGATACATTGTGCTGGATATCAAAATAAAACTTTCTAAACTGATCCACTAAAAACAATCTCTAGATAAAGTTGCATTTTCTGAGTTCTGTGTAGAGGATGACAAAATGTAATGATTACTCACATGTCTGTGAACACCGAACATTTATGTCTCATTGCAGTGAACATTTACCATTTCCACAAATGCACTAAATCCAAAAACAATGAGGAATTTTGCAGATTTACACCTATTATTAGTCTCCAGGACAATAGTGTGATTGTAATGAGAGTAAACAGATTTCCAGGACATTTGGAAAATGGAATTAATGCCTGGTTGCCCAGCTTTATTCAACTGCTCTTAGAATTTACCTGAAAGTCCCCTAGGGGAGACCAATAGTTCACTCAATTTTGTTTCCAAGTTGGAAAAACGGTTTAAAAAGTATCTGTTAAATTATACTAGTGCCCAGGATTAGATTGCTCTTGCACAGTTAAGTGCATTCAAAACCACAGGAGACTTCTTTCCACTGATTACATCTGGGATGATTTACTAAATTTCTCCATTGATCAGTGGTAACTCGGAGGCCTTATTATATGTAGAAACACAAGGGATAATTATATCTTGAGTCAACTTTAAAGCTTTGTGTTTATTTGAGGATTTGGAACATTATCGATTTCAAAACAAACTAACTACTCATGATTTACAAGAGAAAATTGAAGATGGTTAATGTGATGCCCCATTACAGGACATATGTAATTAAATTATAATTTTATATCTAAATGAAAATAAAGAATAGCATTTATTCTGCACAGAAGAGAAAAGATCTGGCAATGCATCCAAGGACTGGATGAACTTAAATGGGACTGGGTGAGAACAGACTTTTACTGAGACCTCTTCTCCAAGAGAATTGACTGCTATACTACATACCAGGGATGCGGAACCTAAGGCCCAGATGCAGCTCCGGCTTGCCTGGATCCTGCCCTCAAGGCTCCCTCTCCCAGCATTGGGGGCCGGAGCACACAAAACCTACTAGGCTGGGCCCCTCTAGGCTCTGGTGTGTGAGGGGAACATGGGGAGCGTCTTTCTGCTTTTCAGTCAAGGGCCACATCAGTGAGAGTTTTAGGGGGGTTCTTTTTTTTTGGCTTCTCATTTTGTGTGTCGCCCTCCCCTCCGGACTAATTTTTCTGTGGGGCCCCCCCAACCCAAAAAAGATTCCCTACCCTTGCCATATACCAATGGAGACGAGACTAGAATTGCTTATAGCAGTGGGGAGTAATGATGTTAACGGTTAACTAGTAAGCATCACCCTTAACGGGTAATGCTGCTTTTACAATAGGGCTTTTAGCCAGTATGACAATGTGGGTTAGAGTGTGATTCCTTACAATTCATTGATACCAGTAGGGGTAATGCATACTGGTTCCGGTCAACTGGTGGGGGTGGAACAGTCCCCTCCCCCACCCCCGGCACTAGCTGGGAGCTGCTCTAGCCACTGGCTGCTTTTGTCCGGAGTAGCCCCTGTCCACAGAGGATCCAGGTGCCTCTGTCCACAGGGGTACAGGCCTGCCGAGCCTCTTTCTGCCCAGATCCTACTTAATCAGTTAAAAGTTAAGTAAACCTAACATGTAACTGGTTAACTGATTAAATGGGATGTTATATCTTCACTAGGAGGTATGTTATAGCAGCAAAATAATTCTTTAGCCAGTATAGCTAATACTGGTTTCCCACATAAAATCAGCTATACCAGCAAAGACTTTTTTTGCTGCTATAAACTGCATCTATATTAATGCTGTCTGTGGGTATAAATGGATTGTAAAGAATCACAGCCCAGCTGGTATCAATATATTATAAGGAATCACACCCCAGCCCACCTTATTATATTGGCTAAAAGCCCTATTGTAAGACGGGCCTCCAAGTTTGGAGAGCTTCACAAACATGGAATCTGTTTCTTTAGACAAGATTCTTGAAGCTTGTTTGAAAGTTTCCACTTGGTTAAAAAACTGACAGAACAGCCTAGCCAGATGGGAGAATTTGTTTAGTGTTTTTTAGCAACTCTGTTCTTCTTGGAAGAGTGGCATCACTGAGTCCTGCCCATTTTCTACTTTAGATGACTGTCTGACAGGACTGTATTTTTAGGGAAGAGATCCATCCATATAGTGACAAAGATCCTAGTTTTCCTACAAATGCTTTGTTTAATTGTCAAGTAAGCCAAATATGTTTGGGGTAATAAGCCAGACAATTTCCCCTTTGGATCTGCCAAAGGGGTTTAAAAAAAAACCTTGCACTTCTATTGTGCCTTAATAGGAAGATTTCAAATAACTGTATCACCTTTGAACTTGTTTTACATGTTAAACACTTTCATGCCTCCCTTGGGGGAAAAAAGGGTCAATGACACTGCAATATTTACTAGGTCATCCTGACTCCCATTCTAGATTTCCAAGTAGATCGCTATTTACATTTACCAAGAAACATAGTAAAAATACTGCAAGAAACAGGCAAAACAAACATCAGTGTAAAGCTAATAT